GGCCCCGGTGGGACACACTGGCGAGTCCAGCCCCGGGGATTCCCTCCCGCCCCCCTGCTGCGAACTGCCTGGCTGGTGACGCGCTCACAGCGCACAGCGACGTACTGACACGCCCGACGATAATAAAACTTGGTTAGAACCCCCCCGACATGTCTACGGCCGGGACTTTCTCAGTGTGTTTCCCGGACTGATCCCCCAAATCCCGGCCTGTCCGGTCCCCAGCCGGCCACCTGGCAGCCCTCGGTTCTTCTGGGCTCTTTCTGCATTAACCGGATTGGCCCCACGCTCGTCCGGGTGTGAGGCGCGGGGGGCTTGGCTGGGGGGGGGGCCCCTCCCTGGCTGAGCCCTGCCGGGGGTTGCCACGCTCATCCCAAGGCAAATCCGCTGGTTCCTACGCACCGTCCGCCTGCCTGGCTCCTCGCGGCCCCGCCGACTGACCTCCCAACAGCCTCTGCCCAGCACGGAGCCGCTGTCTCGCATGAGCGGAGTCCTGGCCTATTCCCTTGGGTTTCAGCTCCCTTAACCCCGGCCCGCTGCCCAGACTCTGCTCGGCACAACGTCCCGGCGCAGCGGGGGCCAGGCACGACCAGACTAAGCAGTCCCAGGACGCCTGATTTAGTACCGGGGCGCCGACTGACCTCCCAACAGCCTCTGCCCAGCACGGAGCCGCTGTCTCGCATGAGCGGAGTCCTGGCCTATTCCCTTGGGTTTCAGCTCCCTTAACCCCGGCCCGCTGCCCAGACTCTGCTCGGCACAACGTCCCGGCGCAGCGGGGGCCAGGCACGACCAGACTAAGCAGTCCCAGGACGCCTGATTTAGTACCGGGGGTGTGGAGCAGTGTCTCCATACAGGCGCTGGGGGTGGGAATAACCCTCCAGTGTTTTTAGGGGCAGACCCCCCCAAAATAGCCCCGCCGAGGGCTCCGGTGGCCTGGCCTCGCCTCCGGCACGGTCCCCTTTCAGGAGGCAGTGTCCAGCTGCCCCCCGGGCCATGCCAGCCGGCCCCGGGGCTGGGAAGGGGAAGCAGGCGCCCACGCCCTCCCTGGGGGCAGGAGGAAGCCGGCCTGAGGCTGCTGCCTGCAGGCAGCGCTGAGAGAGGTTTCCTGTTTCCTTTTTGAGATTTCACAGAATTTGAAAGCAGCCGCTGCCTCGCCCGGGG